ATTTCTTCTGTGTTCTCCATTTTGTTAGAGTACAAGTTCTCTAAGTAAGTACTGATGATCCTGTGGATTTCTACTGAATCCATTGTGACTTCACCATTTTCATTCCTAATTGCATGAATTTGAGCCTTTTCTTTCCTTTTATTGAGAAGGTTGGCTAAGGGTTTATTGATTTTATTTATTCTTTCGGAAAACCAACTCTTTGATTCATTGATTTTTTTTTTGTACTGTTCCCTTAGTCTCCATTGCATTGATTTCTGCTCTGATTTTTATAATTTCCTCCCTTGTATGAGCTGCAAAACTACCTTTCAAAATTGATGGGGAAATAAGATACTTCCATGACAAAGAACACCTGAGAAACTTCATGAATACCAAAGCAGCACTCCAAACAATTTTTAAAAATATCGTAGAAAAAGACAATGAAGGTCACAACTCCACGAGGCCCAACAGAGCAAATCCAATAGGCAAGAATTTAATGGGAGAAGGAGAAAAATAAAAAAGAACCAACAACAGGAAAATAATATGGCAATGATAAGTCAATACATATCAGTTATAACCATCAAGGTCAATGGCCTCGATTCACCAATCAAAAGAAATTGACTGACAGAGTGGATTAAGAAGCAAAATCCTTCCCAGGTAATTGAAGGCGCCTGAGTTAGAGACACCCATAGCCATACCATGGATAGTAAAGCAGTATCTCCAAAAAATGGAAGTGGTCTTTATTTTCTCTTAGTGGATATATTGGTAATTCTCTGCTTTAAAAAAATTCCAAAATAATAATTGTCATAGTTCTTTTGGATGCTATAAAAACATCATAAACAGCAGACATTTCTCTGCATTCTAGAGGCTGGAAGTCTAAGGTGAGGCAGATTATATGTCGGGTGGGGACTATTTCCTGGTGCCATCTCTGTGCTGTCACACAGGGCAGGAGTGAGGGAGTCTCCAGGGTCCCTTTAAAAGGCACTAATAACTTTTCATGAGGGCTCCACCCTTAGGACTTAATCACTTCTCAAATTGGCAGGGGGCATAAATATTCAGTCTATAGCAATAATATAATAGAAATACCCAGGCGTACATATGAGGATGGTCACTGAAATATTTCCAATGTCAAAATAAATAGAAAATTAAATTTCTGTTAGTAAGCCAAACAGTTACATAAATGTTGGTAGATCCACACTGAAATGACACATAGCCCTTTAAAAAAATGAGGTCAACCTATGTCTGCTGATGTGGAAAGATGACCATGGGTTATTGTTAAATTAAAAAAAAAAGAACAAAACTCCACACAGCATAGTGGCAGAAGCTAGGGAGAGCGGTGGGAGATGAAGAAAAGATGACAAAGAGACCAAAATTATCCTTGATAGCTGGTCCAGGTGGGACTGTAGCCTGATGAGCTAGTGGCTTCCTGGCATCCAGTCCACTCTTTATTTACAGTGTGGCAAGATGTGGTAACTAGTGCCACGTTGCAGCCTGCTTGTCTTGTGATCAGGGCATGCAGGAAGGGAACAAGGAGCAAGGGTACACGATGGGACTGTCTCCTGGGGTTGTGCCATCCCGGATCTACAATCTTAGCCAAACAGGCTGTCTGTTTGACTCTCTGTGGAGGAGAAAAGGAGAAGGGAAGAGAAGAAGGACCATCTTCAGGCTTGGCGCCTGGCATATGTACAGCTCTGGATGATCTCGTTTGTGCTGTTTTGAAAAATGCATGCTTTGCAAACTGTTGATAGTGGTCACCCCTGAGGAGAGGCCTGAGGATGGGTTAGCAGGGCATGGATGAAATAATAAATGTCTTCCACTTTCAAGCTCATACCCTTCTGATAATGCTTACATTATCATAATGAGCATGTTACTTGTCTACATGAGTGAAGAAAAATGCTGTAATAAACACAGTCTCTTCTCCCATCCCTCCTCCCTCATGGCAACTTTCCAAGCAGAAAAACGTTTCCCAAACTTGTTTTTTTTTTGCTACTAGGGATCGAACTTAGGATCTTGCACTTGTGAGGCACAGCACCACTGAACTACATCCCCAGCCCCTAAGTTTCCCAACTTTGAATTTCTATTCTGGGCTCAGAAGCTGGGTAGACAGGATAGGAACCAGCGTTTGCGATGGAACCGTGCCTGTCCCTTGTGCAATGGCTTTCCTTCCTCTCTGCCCACTGACTGTGCCCCTCTCACAAGCTGTAGCCTTGTGTCTTTCAGATGCAGGAGACAGAGTGGGCCTTGGTATGCCAGTTTCCACATGGTCATCACCCAAGCCTTGCTCTTGGTTTGTAAGCATGTAGCATGTAACAAGCAGCCCTGTGGTATCTGTTTTCCTCCTGTCACCAAATGAGACTGATCTTGTCACCAAGCCAGGTATCTCTCACATTCCCCAGCCCATTTGTCCAATCCCTGTGCCTGTTTGTTTATTTATTTATTTTTGGTACCTGGGATTGAACCAGGGTCCTTGGCCAGCGCAGAACCACTGAGCTAAATCCCCAGCCCAAATCCCTGTATGTAATGCCCTCCTCAGAGCAGATCTGTGGGGCACAACTATTTGTCAGGGGCAGCCTAGGATAAAGTGCCCCAAATAAGTCAGGGTGCAGTTCTCCTTTAGTTGCCATTTTATGACTTCAGTATGCACAAGTTCCAAATGAAAAGCAACAGGGTCCCTCTGAGTCCCAGGTGAAGTCCAACTTTTATGGTCTTGTTTTGATCCCACAGCATTTACCTATAAAAATTATATATATATATATATATATTATATATAAAAATTAATTATATAATCTAAAAAAATATAATCTGTCTGATTAGAGTTAATCAGGCAGAGTCAGTACCATCCGGCTGTTTGTACTTTCCCCAGGGGACAAAACATCCATTTTACTGGTTAACAATCAAAATTCTCTGATATCAGTTAGTTGTACCTTTGTTGGGAAATAGCTTTAATATTCACAGGTGGGAACTTAGCTCTGATGGAAATAAAATGCTGTTAGAATTATACGTGCGCTACACTTAGCTAGTCGTGGAGAAGCAGTGTCAGAAGGAACTACCATATAGTAAATACCGATTATGTGCCAGGCGATTAGTACACGATTGTATTGCCTTCTGTTGGCACCCGTCTGAGTAAGAGAACCCAGACAAGCAGACTGGAGGGGTGAAGCACATAGCTTCTGAACCAGATCTGCCAGCTTGAATCCCAGCACCACCACTTCCCAGGTGGAACTTTTCTCTGTCCCTTGGTTTCCTCATTTGTGAGGTGAAATAATGACAGTACCTACTGTGGTGAGGACTGAATGCCCGACTGCACGGAGAGCTCCTATCCCTGGGAAGCACGGGACACGTGTCCGTGTTTCTATAGTCACTTGTGTAGAGCAGCGGGGCCGGGACACTCTACTGCTGTGCTCTGCCTACTGGGACAGTTTACTGCAAAGGCTGTCTCTTTAGGGTGTTTCACCTTGTAGTTCCGATGTCACGCTGACTTTCCAAGGCTGGTGGCCAGTGTGGCTGAAAGTACCTTGAATGTTTGACAGTCCTTACCTTCAGCCAATCCTTTATCAGCTGCATGTGGTGCCGAGCATGTCTGTTTTGTTTTTTGTTGTTGTTCTGTTTTTTTGGTGACAAGGTCTCTTGATGTATTCCAGACTGGCCTTGAACTCATTGTGTAGCCTGGGCTGGCCTTGAACTCACAGCGATCCTCCTGCCTCAGCCTTCTGAGTGCTGGGATTCCAGGTGTGTGCCACCACACCCAACCATTCATTTGTATTTGTCTGAACACTGATAGATCTTTTATAGATTGTGCATATAAAATCCTGGTTTGCAAGCTGCATAATTTGGGGCAGGTACCCCTAATCTCTTCCTGCTTCAGTTTCCACATACAGAGGTAGTACATGCCTATAATCCAAAATGCTAGGAGGCTGAGACAGAAGGATTACAAGTTCAAGCCTGGACCTGGCAACTTAGTGACTTAGCAGGGTCCTGACTCCAAACAGAATATAAAAAAAGAAATGAGCTGAGAATATAACTCAGTGTGAAGCTCCTGCATTTAATCTCAGCACACCCCCCCGACCATGGCCATACAGAGCTGAGACTGTAGCTCAGTGAGAGAACTCTTGCCTAGCATGCACAAGGCCCTGGGTTCCATCCCCAGGACTTCCAAAAGGAAAGAAAAAAGATAAATAAAATCAGCGTATGCAGCTACACATCACATAGATTTGTTGTGAAAATTACAAAGCACCAATACAATATGCTTGATATAATAGATGTCCAAAAATAATTATTTTCATTATTTACATGTGATTAATAAATGCACATCTGTAATCCCAATACTTGGGAGCCAAAGGCAGGAGGATTTCAAGTTCAAGGCCAGCTTGGGTTACATAGAGAATTCAAGGCCACTGGACTGCATA